TGGGATGGAGCTCTTGGGATGGAGCTCCTGGGATGGAGCCCTTGGGATGGAGCTCTTGGCCAAAAACCCTAACAAAAACCCAACAGGGGGTGGGCAGAGATGCTCCAAGCCAGGGCAGGCTGTGCAAAGAGGGGGTGCCCCCCACACCCAACCCCTCCTCCCCTCTCCCTTTCTCCCCCCCTTTTTACCCAGGCAGGCAAAAGCTGCTTGGAAAGCAGCAAAGCTCATCCAGCTGACCAGGGCTCGGCGGGACGGGCGCAGGATGTGGGCTTTGTAGAACACATCCAGCACTGCCCCTTGGTAAAGGGTCTTCAGGTTGCTCCTGGAGAGGGAAACAGACCCAAAAGAAAAGCAGCTGCCACCCAAAGTGGGTGAGGAGGGGAAGGGCAGAGGAGGCAGGGAGCCCTACCTGTGCAAGCCCAGAGTCCTCAGCAGCATGGCACAGGTCAGCAGGCAGCACAGCACCAGTGAGCAGATGTAGCAGACTGGGGGGGGAGCAGGGGGAGATGGTGGGGTCAGGGTTCTGGGGTTCAGCTCAGGAGCACGGGGGAAGGCTGAGTTCTGGGGGGTGGGAGCCTCCCCAGAGCGTTGTGCCTCAGTTTCCCTCCCTTGGGTGATGAGGGGAGATGTTTGGTCGGCTCCGAGGTGGGGGTGGCCAAGCAGGCAGGGGGGATGGAAGCAGTTAGGCTGGAAGGATCCCTGAGCAAGCTGGGAGGGAGCAGGGGGGGCTCCTGAGAGGGCCTGGGGAGGTGCCCTCAGAAAAAGGGGGCTGGAAAGCAAGACGTGGAGGGAAGGAGATGTCAGGAAACCAAGAGCAAAACTTGGTGGCTCTGGACGAGCCATCAGAAGGGGCCCCCCTTTGGGTGGTGGCACCCCCAAGGGGTGGGGAGGAGGGTCCCCCTGGCCAACCCTGCAGCTTCCCCTGGGCCAGGGCTCCCAGCACATCCCGAGGGCAGCATCTGTGGGGCTGCTGCTGCCCTCCCTGCCTCTCTCCCCTCCCTCTGCTCCTGGGCTGGGCAGTGGGGATGGCTGGCAGGGCTCCCACTGGCTCCTTTCCCTCTCTGCCTCTGCAGTGTTGAAGCCCTCCTGGAAGTGGCTCCATCACCAACTGCTCTCCTGGACCTCTAGCTGAGCTCTGAACAAACCCACCCCCCAAAAAAGTCACCCCGGGGTGCAGGGTGTGGCTGGGAACCCACCTTCCAGGGACCACAGGTAGTACTTGACGGTGCTGAGCTCCTTCTCCATGTCCCCTGGGACTGCTGGGTTGTCCGAGGGCACCAAACCAAACTGGACCAACAACACCACGATGTCCTTGGTCATCCCCGCCCGCACGATCTGGATGGTGGGGACAACAGCCACCAGGAGCAGCAGGGCCACCTGCAAGGGAGCAGGGCCACGTGAAGCCCAGCTCCCCAACCTCCCCACCACCACCTTGGCTTAAAGGACTTTAAGCCCTGGAAGCACATGGCTTGGGTTCCTGCAGCTCAGCTGAGGAGGGGGGGGTTAATACCTCCAGGCACGTTAATACCAGCCCTGGAGCCCCCAAACTGGTGGCTTGGCAAGGAGTTCTGGGCTCCTCTGGCCTCCAGAGGACACAGGCAAGGAGGGCAAGGAGAGGGAGCTGCTTGGTGGTTCATCACCAGCTTCACCTGGTAGACTGAGATCACGGCCGTGGTGAAGGACAGGAGGAGCTTCAGGGGGATCCGGAAACCTGGGGTGCAGGAGCAGAGAGGGGATCAGAGAGGAGGGGGGGGAAGAGAAGGGGGGGCTGCAGGTGCACCCCAAGCCAGCAGCCAAAGCAGGGAGCCAGTGGGGAGCACAGGGACAGGGTGGCCAAGTGGGAACTGGGGGTTCCCCAGGTCCATCCTGCAGGGATGTGGGGCTGGGAGGGGTTTCCCAGTGTGCCTGGATTGGGAATTCCTCCCTGGGGATCCCCCCTTCCCAACAGCCCTTCCTTCCTGGGGATCCCCCCTTCCCAACAGCCCTTCCTTCCTTCCTGGGGATCCCCCCTTCCCAACAGCCCTTCCTTCCTTCCTGGGGATCCCCCCTTCCCAACAGCCCTTCCTTCCTGGGGATCCCCCCTTCCCAACAGCCCTTCCTTCCTTCCTGGGGATCCCC